GCCCATTGGGCCATAATAAACGTACCTCAACCTAAATTTTTGATTTGAGCCCATTTACAAATGTACTCTCCATTACTCTCTTAAATTCGCAGCAATGGCGTAACCAGAACTTCAATTGATAGTCTGAATTCTGGGATCAGTCCGTTTTGTTCGTAACTAGTTGAGGAAAGGTCAATGATGCCACAGTTTTCTTGGTTGCCTCCACTATATGCAACAATCAGACCATGCTTTGGGTTAAGTACTCCACCGACTTTTCCAACTCCGGTAAGTGTTGCATTTAGGTTGTAAACCCTTAAAAACTCTGGGTTATGTACTCCTCATGGAAGTTTTTGGGTGGTTACGACAGTTTATGGAGTTTACTTGGACATTATACTACTACTAGTTTAGTCGGTCAGCGCAGTACCTACCTAGGACTGATATATCCCATTTTTGCATTTTCCTTGGCATGAGTCGTACCAAAGAAATAGTTCAGCTATATGGTTTCCAAATTTTGGAGTTGAACCACATTTTCACCTTAAGGACAAGGTGTCTCTTGAACCTGGGGTATTGGTAATCCTCCAATTGTAGAGAAAGATTTGAGAAAGAGTGGACAGCAGCATAATTCGATTGAGGAGCAAGTGGTTGAGAAAAATTAATTAGAGAATAGTTATAAATAAGAGTAAAAGGAAGCTTAGTAAGGAGAAACAATATAGATTTTGCTATTTGTACATAGAGGGTTACATAATATGATGTGGAGGAAAAAGATTGGAAGAAAAAATTGATTGTATTTTAAACTGGCAAATGGTAGAATGTCACGTAATCCCTAATATACATGTAGCAAGATCCAAAAAAATATTGAGTGAAAGAAATGAGTCTTGTTTGTCATTTACTTACTTGTAATTCTCTGCAATTCAATCAAAGATCTATTATTAATTTTCGTTCTTTTTCTTCCAGTTAGAACCTTAACAATGGTATCAAAGTAAGCACCATGTCTCCCGGTTGCAATCGAGTGGTACGGATGGTAATGCCGGCATAGCAGTGTTCATCCGGGACTAGTCCTGGATTAGTGCAAAGCCATCCGACGTGGATGTCGAGATCGCGGAGCATGGTGAATTTTCATGGTTCTCATTGCAAGGTATGCGACTTAAACCCCACATCGAAAATATGGACTTTCGATGTGTGGTTTATATAGACTTGGACTCTCCAACTTCAATTACTAGCTTTTGAGATATGGCTTCTCCAAGATCTATATCATAAACATCTTGGTGTGATCCTTTCAAAATTAACAATATTTAAACCCCTTTTTCCGGGTAATTTAATACAACGCATTTTCAACCCCTAAAATAGTGAAATTTGTCCTAAATTATGGGGCTCAAGGGCTTCACCTAGGAGCCCGTTTCTGCTTGGAAATTGGTGTCATGAGGCAAAGTATGACTCCATTATCTGAGAATTGGGCTTCAGATCAAGACTTTGCTAGAATTTCTTTTGGGCTTTAGATGGCCACTAAACGCCGTACAAGCTAACTTATTCTGGGTTGTATCACTGTTCCTTATGTGCATCTATTTATATTTATTGTGTGAAGACTTTTCATTTCCTAGAAGCACGAGTTTTTGAAAATGGTGTTAAACTGGAGTTTTCTTGTATCTGAAGGGGTGCTTGAGTTCTTCGCTGATCTTAGTGTACGATCTTTAATGATGTTTTTATTGTTAATTGGATTTTACAAAGTTGCAGCATTTTCTTTTTTCCCTTTAGCACATCAGCGTGCTCTAGTTATGAGAACGACTTAAGTGGATCAGGAATGTTTGCCATTTTGGAGAAACCAAAAATATTCTGTGGCATCTTTTACTGGCCCCAGAAGTGAAGGCAACACATTAGAGTTGTCCTTTCCTCGAACAGGGTAACTGGAAGCTTTGGAGCCATTGTTGAAATAATTATTTGATTAGAGAACTTATTGTGCCGGTTTCTACATCTGTTATAAATTACTAATCAATTTTAATATAGTCCTCTTTTCTTTGAGCTTCAGGCTCTGATTCAAGGTTGAGGTTATGGGATATAGAATCTGGGTGCAACACACTTGTAAATTTTGAAACTAAACGCTTGCAAAGCAGTAAGGCAATACAGATGGCAGTATCTCAGAATCCTGCTCTTGTTTTTGTTCCATGCATGGCGACTACAAAAGTAATACATTGCTTTCCTGCTTTACAATTCACATTATTTCTAAGATAAAGATCTGCTATAAACCTAACTGTTTTAATCTCTTAGGCCTTTGATATGTGGTCTGGCCAGACGATGCAGACTTTTCGTGGGCACTACGAAAATGTTAATTGCTGTTGGTACAATGCTCAAGATCAGGTGCAATGCTCTCTCTACCCCTCCTCTCCCTCTTGTCTTCCCAGAGTGAACACTACAATCAAATTGTTTCGCCATTAAAGCAGCCCCATACCATGCCAGACATTAGGACTGTTACTGCTAATTTTATCAGGGTTGCTGTCATGTCAATCCAACTGGGATCACCTTTGTCATGGGTAATTAGTCCAGATAAGATTTTCGTTCGGGTTCTCTCTATTCTGGAAAAATTCATCTCACAGTTTGGCAGAATATGAAGCATGATTAGATTATTTAACCCATAACAGCTCTTCATTCACCTTGTGGCACTGCAATTTTCTTTGTGATCACTTGGCTAATGATGTTGCGCTCAATGTATGCCCCTAGTGCCCGAATCAGGGAAATTATCTAGTGTCCTGAAAAGCTATTTTCTGATCCATCTTACTTTTCCAGCTTAAGAACTACTTGTGCGTCATCAGCACTTTTTCAAAGTCTGTTCATTTCTGTTTGCTTCTTTGACTATGAATCGCGTTTGACCACTCTTTTGTTTCTAAGACTGCTCTTTTTCATCCTCTACATTGCCTCCCACACATCTAAGTACACACTAACCTTTATTAAAGAAAAAATAATAGATAATCTTTCTTAAAGAAAAACTAAAGAAGGATGATCATGACTAGAACTAGAGTTGTAGGAGAAAGAAGAAAAGAGAAAGGGAAGAAGAGAAGAGAAAGAGGGGAGGAGGGGAAGCAATTTAGAGAGAAAATTGTAGTTTATTAAGCAATTAGAGTATGTAAATACTATGCATAACGCCCCTTTATTTAGAGTTTTAACTAATCTATTTAAACAACAAAAGAAAGAACATATAATACTAGAAAACCTAGAAATAAATTCTATTTAATTTTCCTAAAAATGGTGTACACTGAAGAAGCGTATCCCAAGTGGTACCATAATCTCAGTTGATACAGAATATCTTTATTTTTTTTGTTCCTGAAGTACCAGATTGCAAACAATATGCATCTATTACGTGACCATGTCGCATGAATTTAGTCCAAATGTATGCAGGGAAAAACTCAATAATTTCATCATTTATGTTGATGAAAATTGTTAATACCATTTTCTTGCATGAATTCAATCGTTTTCTATATATCTGCCCTCTAATTATTCATAAGCTGCTTAAGAATTTGCGCCTTCCTTGTCGCAGGAGTTATACACTGGGGGTAATGATAGACAAATTCTTGTCTGGTCTCCACCCAAATTTATTTCTGATGAAACGGTACGAGTTTCAAAATTACAACCTTTTAAATGCTACCGTTCTACATACAAAGATTGCCTGTTGACGTTTATGTTTTAGAAGCTTCCTTGCCTTACATGCTTCTTTGGTGAACTACAGAACCAACGGGGGAAAGGGCTGTCCGTTGCAGTTGATCAGGATAACTGGAGCGACTAGGTTTCTGTTTCTTTTCCTTTCTTCCTGTATATATAAACATCTTACGATGTGTATGTACCATGCTATAAAATATTTGAAGAAAACAGAAAATTCATCTCTATGTGGATGTTCGTGTACTTGACACACTTGGTTAAGAGGGTTTGTGACCTGTGTTAGATTAAAGGTATCTCGGATTCTAGATGAATTATGTTTTGATGCATTGCCAGACACAAGTATAAGAGAGGCTCAATGTTGGTGCTAAGATACTTCATCAAAAATTGTGGACACCCAGGTCAATATAATTTCTATAATATTACTCCCTCCGTCTCATATAGGATTACTTCTTTTTTCACACAAATTAAGAAAATATAATTAATATGATCAGAAATATAAATCTTACTTACTTTTTTCTAATGCATACTTAAATTAAATAATAGTTTAAATAGGAGTAGGTTTTTTTTTTTTTTCTTTAACAAGGCACGTTAAAAAGGGGCATATGAAAAAAAAAGAAATTAACTATGTTTTCAACAAGAAAAATGACCTATAATTTAGGACAAAAGAAAAAAAAAAGTAAGACTTTCTTTGTGAGATGGAGGAAATATAATATTGAAAATTAAAAGAAAGATAGTATTAGACAATATTATAAATAGTATAAGTAATAAAGTTTTAATTTCTTTTTCTATTCTAATAACGGCTAATGTCATAACGGTTGCCTTGTCAATACGTTATTAATTTTAGGATTAATCTAAATGTACACAATCCATTAACTTAATGGATTACAACCCCCCACATGGAGGGGGGTCTATACACAATAAAATATTTGTGGACCCCCTCCATGTGAGGGGAGTGTAATCCATTAGATAATGGATTGAGTGTACATCTAGCACAATCCTTAATTTTAACAGAATAAATACCATTTTTTCCTTTTTTGCTTGTAATTTCAATGTTGAAAATATAATATGTTATCTTGAACCTGCCAAATAAAGTGTTCTCATTCACAAGTCAAAAAATCACTACACCTCAACCCTTAAAAGTCATGTTTTCATCAATTTCTTGATTAAATTTATAAGTAAAATAGTATTTGTTTCCATCTTATACATTGATTAATTTATAGAGTTATATACACAATTTGTCAAATAAATCCAACGGCTTCACAAGACCGATCACCAGCCATCACTTTCTTCCTTGGAAGTATTTCCAAAGAATTAACCTAGTATAAGTCCAATATTTCTCTGATCAACATTTAGCATTGTTCTCTGAATACTATGGCTCATAACAAGATTTCAATAGATATGGATCCCGGAATATGGAGCCGGCTACCGGAGGAACTTCTCGAGAGGGTGCTGTCATTTCTACCATTAAAAACTTTCTTGAATCTTAGATCAACTTGTAGAAACTTCAATTCTCTCCTTTTCTCCCCTTGCTTCATTTCAAAACATTCGCCATCATCTTCTTCGCCTTTCTCGTCTTTCATCCTCCTTTCACACCCACAATTTCTCCACAAGTATTCCCTTTTCAATACTGTATTGAACTCCTGGTGCAATATGTCACTCTCCTTGCCCCCCATGCTTTCTTGTCCACCTTCTTTAAATCTTCTCTCCAGTTCCAATGGTCTCCTATGTTTCTCTATCCCGACATCGTCTTGTTTTGTTGTATGCAACCTTCTGGCGAAATCCATACGACGAATAAAGTTCCCTACATGTCCATTTGACTTTGAGTTCCTTACTCTAGTTTCCGCATCAAATGGTTACAAATTGTTCATGCTATTTTCTTTTGGATCATCCACCAGTCATGCCCTTGTTTACGACTCTGTGCTTCATTCCTGGCTACAATTCGAGGGGTGCAATCCAATTCTGAGCCATAGCTATTATCAGAAGGGTGCTTTTTATGATGGATGCTTGTTTTTCACCACTCCTGAGCCTTTCAATGTTGTGTGCTTCGATTTCGATGCTTGCAAGTGGAATAGATCAAGAACTGAGTTGCCGGGAAGCCTTACTTTTGTTCGACTGGTAAGCGATGAGGATCGGAAGTTGTACTTGATTGGAGGAGTTGGGGAGAGCGGGATTTCAAGAAGTATAAAGTTGTGGGAATTGGGAGAAAATGGAGAGAATTGGGTGGAGATTGACATATTGCCTGAGATGATGTGCAGAAAATTTGTGTCTGTTTGTTACCATAACTATGAACATGTTTATTGTTTTTGGCACCAAGGATTGATTTGTGTTTGTTGCTATACATGGCCTGAGATTTTGTACTACAAGGTGTGTAGGAGAACCTGGCATTGGCTGCCCAAGTGCCCTTCATTGCCTGACAAATCGAGTTGTGGTTTCCGGTGGTTTCCCTTCAAACCCGAGCTTTATGCCACTGTATGATAGTTAGAGGTGTCAATCGGGATCTACGTAAGGGCTTTTATTAGATGAGTCGCTCAGCACGTTTTGACACATCTAATAATAGTGAATTAACGTTCTTGTATATTATTATTTTATTTAAAGCAGTTAGTATTGATAGGCATATTATTTTAGTTACTGGACAATACTTGCTTTGATACGTTTGAAACTTAATTTTCTCACAAATTAATCCAGAAAGTCTTATATTTTTAAAATACAAATTTAATATTTTAGTCAAACTTTTAGATCCATGCGCCCCACTTATTTAAATATCAGATTATTAGAAATGTCGATAAATTACACCATCGACATTAATCTTTTATACAACTTTCAATTAGATCGTTAAACTATATTTTGTCTTAAATAGTTCTAAATTTCATCACTCGTCACAGTTTGTCACTGTCGTCCCCCAAATTGTCGAAAATTGGCACCGAATCGTCACTAGAGACCTACAAAAGAAAATGATAAAAAGGTAATTTGAGACAATATTTTTATATTAAAATGTTAAAATTCTTTAATGAAAATTTTCCGAAATCTTGCCAGTGAATGAGAGTTAATAAACGTTAATATATTAGAGACATTTATATAATTAATTAAAAAGTCATTCATTTTGAATACTCCGTGACTTTTAGAGAATTTAAGTATTGATTCAATACCTCATGTTGTTAAAGATCTTAAAAGTCCAAAAAAAAATTCTATATTGGATATCATTAAATTTATCATTTTTAGCCCATGTTTGGTAGGGATTAATTAGATTTTTAGTAGGTTTTGATAGAAGATAAAACGTATGGTTGAAAAGTTGTAGGATTCAGAAAATATGCGGTTAAAATCTAAATTTTAATTGGTTTCAAATATGGACTTAACAAGTCTGTAGTGAATATACTCAAAACTTTTTAAATCTCAAAAAAAAAAAAAAATTAAAAAAATTAAAATTTAAACTGCATAGGAGAACAAAAATCGGGGCAATGTTGAGGATAGGATTTGGGTGCAACTTTCCAACCCTTTGCATTTTGGGTTGTGCTGGATGTACACCAAATCCATTACCTAATGGATTACACCCCCCTCACATGGAGGGGGGGGGGGCACAAATATTTTATTGTGAGGATGGTGTAATTCATTATGTAATGAATTATGTACATTTAGACTAATCCTTGGATTTTATACCTTTTCCAACGAGGAAATGGTGGTAAACGCTTGGGTGATTCGGCCACTTTACCATATTAGCCTTTGACCCACTTTTCCCCCATTAAAAAAAAAACCCAATATTCTCCCAAACATTCTCACACCACATGACTTCTTATTTTTCATGGCTTCTTCATCTTCTTCTCCTTTTTTTTCTTAAAAAAATATTTTCCACATCCAACAAAATTTCAACTTCAAACATGCAAAGAAAAAGTAGACATTTCAAGGTTAAAATTTGCCATTTTTATCAATTGTGTTCAATTAGTAGTTACTTTTTCCTCATTTAGTTTAGATTATAATTTATGGATTTTGTAGTTTGATTCACGGAGGAACAAATCCTCACCGACCAGAGTCGGTGAGGCCATGTGATCACAACGCTTTAACCATTGTGATCACATGGTTCAGTCCCAAGCGTATCGGCATGAGACTTTATATGCTTTGCGATCGCAAGACTCAAAACTTTTTTTTTTATTCACTTTAAGATGGTAAATGGTTATTAATCTGCTCAATGGTTGTATAATTATTTTATTTATTTGAATTTTCTAGATACTATGCCATGTTTAATATATTTTTATATAAGTTTCGAATATTTGTATGTTATTTAGGATGGAGTATGCTCTTGATTCCAGATTGAGCAAATATCCAAGAAAGGTTACCCTGAACTGTAATTTTGTAAATATTAAGAAGGTGATAGATACTTCAGATAAACATCACAAATTATTTTTGCCCATGCTATGAGATCGATAATTTTTCCTTTCTTTTTAGACAAAAAAAAAATGATTTCACTTGAGAAAATCTCACCCAAATAAACGTTGAAAATAATGGTAAAAAAGACTGATTCAAACGAGCAAACATAAAAAATTTATAAAAGAAAAAAACCACTAAACCCTTGTTTGGTTTTGCTAAAAAATTGATTTTTAGTAGATTTTGGTAAAAAAAAAAAATGTGTGATTGAAAAGTTGTTAAAAATTGTGAGTCTCATGAAATATGTAATTAAAATTAATTGTTGATTTCGTTTAATTTTTTTTAGCTAAGCTAGATAGGGCTAAAATATCAATAAAAAGGAGAAAACTAAAATAAAAGAAATTCTAAATAAAATCATTTAGCAGCGTACTATGTTAGAAATTTTATAATCAACCAAACTTTATAAATCTTTACATATTGCCGGGATCTCCATGTCAAATCAACAATAAAATTAATTAATATGGAACATACTCCATTTCATGATTTTGAATCTTGAAAATCAACTTGCAATCTCTTTAATCTTGATTGCTTCAATTCACTTTATTTGATTCTTGATTGCGGATTTTCTGATCTTCCTTTTCAATATACTTTCTCCTGATTATTTTGTGTTGATAGGATGACACAAAAGATGAGAATAACATATGAATTGGAGACCATAACTTATTTCTTTATTTTTATAATATTTCTACCCATCATAAAATACAACCCAAATTGATCAAGTCTCTACATGTATTTAGGCTTAACACTTTATTCAGACATCCAAAATTCAATAACTTTGATTTTTTATTAGATCACTTTAAACAGGGTTTAACTTTAAGATAGCCTTAATACAAAATTAATTGCATATATAGACCCACCTGACAAATTATTTTTCCCAACAATCTTCCGCTGGAGCCACATATATTACCTTATAAATGTGCATGACCTTATAATCTCAAAATTTTTACTATTATAACCAAAAGCATCTCCGAACAATCTCGTCCATTATTATATTAATATAGAATCAAGCGATATCTTAAATACCTTATCGATATAACTCTTTTGTGATAATCCAAGAATACTTCGAGAATGTTCCCAATGTATCTAAATCCCTAATACAAAAGAGGTATTGCCAAAATCTTTTATTTCAAAATTCTTTGAAAGAAATTTCTTGATTTCATGTAATAAGCATATATCATTGCATGCAAGCAGTATCTCATTGACGTATAATACCAAGAAGATATAATTACTCGGATTGAACTTGTGATATACACAATCATTAACAACATTCATATCAAAACCAAACGAGATAATTATTTGATGAAATTTGTGATACAATTGGCAGAAAGTCGACTTACGCTCATATATGAATTTCTTTTATTTGCAAACCATCTTCTTTGGATTTCCTGACATAAAGTTTTTCGATAGTACCATATAAATCATCTCATCAATGTCACCATTAAGAAACGTCGTCTTTACACCCATTTGATGTAGCTCAAGATCAAAATGTATCACAAGTGTCATAATAATTCTGAAATAATCTTTCGATGAAATAAGAAAGAAAGTATATAATTAATGCCTTCCTTTTGAGTAAAGTATTTTTCAACAAAATGAGTCTTATATTTTTCTACATTGCCTTTCGAATCCCTGTTGGTTGCAAATGGATACAAATATTGATTTTAAATATCTATTTGCAACAAATAGGTTTCATAGAAAGTTCATTATCCTGTGCAAGGGAAACCTCATTATCTTTTATGGATTTTATTTTCTCATTCATGGCATCAATTTACTTTTGAGAATTATTCATTTACATTGCTTAGTGAAATTTGATTGGATATTCTTCCTTCAATCCAATGTCATCCTAATTTCTTAGAAGAAATATTATAAAGTCATCCAAAATTGCATTTCTCCTTCCTTTAATGGATCTCCTTAATGGCATTTGTTCTTGTTGTTGAGTTTGTACTTTTGGAAAAATCTCTTGATTGTGTATGGCGATTCTAAAATATTGTCTTCATTCAGAATTGTTTCTTGAATAAGATCTGGAGCAATAATTTGTCTTTAGTTCTCATCATTGTCAATTGCAATAAAACGTATATTTATATTCTTCCTTATAGATAAAATCCCTAACCTTATCTCTCCCTGCAAATTGACCTTCTAGTGGGATCATAAAATATGTGACTTCTTGATCTCTGAAAGTATCCAATAAAATAACAATTGGCACTTATGGAGTCTAGTTTCTTTTCATTATGCCTTGCCTCAGCGAACAACCCCAAATGTGCAAGTGTTTCATACTAGACTTCTTACATGTCCAAAACTCATAAGAGATTTTGACAGTTGCTTTATGTAACACCCCAAATTTTATTGATTTAAATATTGAGGTGTTACCAAT